GGGTTAAGTGACTTGCCCAGGGTCACACAGCTAGTGTTATGTGTCTGAGGCTGGATTTGAACTCAGATCCTTCTGACTCCAGGAACAGTGCTCTATCCACTTCGCCACCTACCTGCCACCCTTCACCATTTTTTTAAAGCAATTTTTTGCTTTTTTTGCTTTTACCTGGAGGTTCTCAGATATATTTTTACTTAATGAAATGTTTATCTGAACCCTCAGGCTCTGAATGATTCATTGCACCAGACCAGGACACCCTTTATGTAAAAGGGAGGAGTAAGGCTAGATTGGGGGTTCTTGTCTCTTTCATGTCATGGGCCCTTTTAGAAATCTAATGAAGCTATGGACCCTTTCACAGAATAAGGTTTTCAAATACTATACATACATTTTACAAATTTTAAATGCTTTCTCTTTCTCTCTCTCTTTCTGCTTCAGTATATATAGGTTTACAAAACATTTTTGAGATACCTAATGAAATATATTTTTTAAAAGTTTACGGGCCCCCCAAAAAAAAATCTTAGCCTGAGTAAGTCTTTAAGCAAGATTTCCCATACTGGTTGATTTCTGGATGAGGAAGTAAAAAAGGGGAAAAGCCTTGGTCCTGATTCAATAATTAGTGATTAATACAAGAGAGAAATAATAATTTCTCTCAGTGTACAGGTGTATGCATGTGTGTAGGGGTATACTAGGATTTGGAAATACTGTATTTCATTTTTGTAAATTCAAAGACATACTATTTCTCTAATCTGATGCTTCACGGATCCAACCCTGGGATGTAGGAAGTGACAAAATGTATTACTAACAAAAATAAATGCCCAATTGGGAAGGCAAAAATTTGCTATTGGAATTATGCAAGATAACAACTTGAGGGAAAATCTTCTTTCACCATCAGACTAGACTTGGAAGCATGTGGTCAGTTTTCAGCTCTAAACAAGTCTGCCACTGACTTGGCCCGGCCAGTGATACATGTCTGAGTTCCTGTGGAGCCAACACTCACCCAGCAATGAAAAGTTGAAAAGAACTATTAGGGAAGGAACCGTCTGGAAAAAAATAATAAATGGGTTTATTATTTGGTCTGGAACAGAATGAAATAACAAAAATGTTTGGCAAGACAAAACAGTCTTCATTGTACGCCAACGAAATTCTGGATGAGGTAAATAAACTTAGACTGTAGAATTGTGAAAAAAAAAAGTTTATGGGCTCTAGGTTAAGAATTCCTGGACCATGGGAAAAAGAACAAAGTAAAAAGTGTCCAGCAGAGAACAAAAGAAAACCTACAAGGAAGCAAAGATGGACAGCTTTCAACATAATGAACAGTTATTTAATATGTAGCCTTTCTTGAAGTGAAAAGTTGTCACTATATGATTTGAATCCTCTCCTATGTTCCACTGTGCGCGTGACTTTGTTTTTCTTATTTTATATTTAAGTTTGCAATGTTTCTTTTTCTTTTCTTATTATGTATTTAAGTTTTAACATTTGTCTAAAATTTTAAAAAAAGAAAAAGAATTCTTGGACTAGATGCTCTTTAAGGTCCCTTCCAGTTCAGACAGTCTGTGATTTTATAAAATCTGTACCTCCCAGGTGGGTGGGTGATATTGGGCAGGACTCATCAGGACTCATCACTTTCTCTACAATGGCTATTCCAAAGTTTTCTTCTCAAGCTTCCCATCCCGCCTGATTCCGCTCACATGCTTCTGAATGTAACTGGAAAATGTCATACTGTGGCTGCTGGTGTCTATTGCTGATTTATGTTATCTCACCTCAATTGAGCCCTCACTGCAGCAAGCCAGGTCTTTTGCTTCTCTGTAATTGATTCTCTATTCTATTCATGACAGGGGCTCTTCCAAACCTTCTCTTCTCTCCTCAAGCCTCCCACACAACTGGCCCTCACAACTGAGGAGCTTGATTTACTCTTTTAAAAAGAATTGTTTTTTAAATTTATTTTATTTTTTCCAATTACATATATAGTTTTCAACATTCGGGGTTTTTTTGCATTTAAAATTTTTCTTCCTTCCTCCTCCTCCCTCTGCCCAAGACAGCAAGCATTGATTCATTCTTTATTGAGAAAATACAGACTATTCACTATGAACTCCCCCTTCTCCCTTCTCTATATCTCACAACCTTTGACATTATTTCCTATTTCTTCCTCCTTTACTCCTGTATCAGATAAAGAGATGATCTTTCTCTTTGCCAAGGCCAACCTTTCAGGGCTGGGCCTGGAGTCAAGAAGACCTGAATTCAAGCCTGGCCTCAGAGACTTAAAAGTTATGTGACTTTGGGCAAGTCATTTGACTTCTGTTTGCCTCAATTTCCTCATCTGTAAAATGTAAAATAATAATAGCCCCTACCTCCCAGGATTGTTGTGAGGCTGTAATGAGGTAGTCATTATAAAGCACTTAGCACAGTGCCTGATGCAAAATAGGTACTATATAAATGTTAGCTACTGTTTTTCTTAATCTTCCTCCTGTCTTTAGTAGATTTCCACATCCTCTACAATCTCCCCCTCTTCCTCTATAAAATCTATCTCTCCTTACCTACTGCTTCTTTCGTACCATCTACAGATATGCCTAGATCTCCCCCATCTCTGAAAAAAAAAACCACCCAAAACTCTCACTAGCCTTTCCCATTCTTTCAAGTTCTCATCCTATGTCTCCCCTCTCTTTCTTAGCAAACCTCCTACAAAAAAGCTATCAGTACTTAATGACCACTTTTACTCCCCTAAGCCCTTTCTCAGTCACTCACAGTCTGGCTTCCAAGTGCCTCACTCAACTGAAACTTTCTCCTAAGTTATCAGTGCGCTTGTAATTATGAAGTTGGATACGCTTTTCTCTGGTCATGTTCTTCTTGACCTTTCTGCAGCCTTTGACCCTGTTGATTCCTTCTGGGTATTCACAGGACTGTTCTTTCTTCATTTTCCTCTTTCTTGTCTGACTTCTCCTTTTCAGTCTCCTTTGCTGACTCATCATCCATATCATGTCCCATAACTGTGGTTGGTCCCCAAGGTTCTGTCTTGGGCCTTTCTCTCTCTGTCTTCTCTTGTTGACTTCATCAGCTGACATGGGTTTAATTATCATCTCTCAGCAAATGAACCCTGACACTTCCTGAGCTCTACTCCCATATCACCAGATGTCTATTGCGCATTTCAAATTGGGTGTCCCATAGTCGTCTCAAACTCAACATAGCCAAAACAGAACATATTCCCCCCAACCCACCCCCTTCTCATCTACTTGCCTACTTCTGTCCTTCCAGTTGCCCAGCTTCACCTCCTTGGTGTCATCCTCTGCCTTACCCCGCATATCAAATCCATTGCCAAATCTTGTCATGTCTACCTCTTTCATTTCTCCCTTTTCTTTTACTCACACAGGGATCACACTAGATCAGGCTCTCACCACCTCTTGGTGATTTTCCTAAAACATTCCATGTCATTCTCCTACTCAACTCCAGTGGCCTCCTAGTACCTCTAAGATCAAATATAAACTCCTCTGTTCAAGGCACCTAAAGCCCTTTATAATCTGATCCCAACCTACCTCTCCAACCTTATTATGTATCAGTGCCCTTCATGCGCACTGCAGTGTAGCCATTCTGGTCTTCTTATAGTTCCTTATACCCAGTACTGTCTCCCTCATCTTCACACCTTTTCACAGGCTGTCCCTCCAACCTAGAATTTATTCCCTTCTCCTTTGAATCCCCAGTTTCCCTCAAGGTTCAACTCAAGAGCCACCTTCTACATGAAACCTTTGCAGACCACCCTTCCCCAGCTGCTGCTGCCTTCCCTTGAAATTTACCTTCTGTCAATTTTGGATGTATTTCTTGTGTACTTATATCAACATGATCTCCCCAGATAGATTCTAATCTCCTTGGAGGCAGACACTATTTTACTAAATCTTTTGTCTTAGGCCATGGGATGACTATAAATTCAGATCAAAACAGCAAGATCTCACATACTTATATTGTGCTGATATCTTTTACTGACCACTTGCTCTGATCACAGAAATCTACTATAAAAGGAAAAGGCAGGGACATGTGACATCCAAATATGACAGGATAGAATATCCTTAGCTCTATTTGAATTCAGATAACAGTTACAGTTCTCCAATCATGCAGTATCAATTCCACATCATAGCCAGACTCAGGAATAGTCAGGTGGGAAGCATTCCTTCTCAAAGGAACACAATGGGGAAACTGAGCCAGGAGGATCCCATCCTAGATTGAGGCTAAGATTGTCCTCACAGTTTTTTCCCAGATACAGACATCTACCTGTTCTGAGTAGCTTGTGGCATTTCTGATACTGACTTAATGCAGACAACTATACCCAAATTCAAACTCAAAACAAAATTAGTTATAGTCCCAAGAGCCTTTTACCTCAAATAGCAAGTTTCACTAATCACAGCTTAAAGCCAGATACAGTTAATTTTACTCCCATGGAGTTGCAATAAGCAATAAAGATTTACCAGGACTCACATACATAAGAGATTTCACTTAACATCTTTCCTTCTCAAATTTAAACTTGTCCTGTGCAAAAGCCAATCATTAGAAATCATTTCTATCTATTGTACATAAACTTGCAACTTCTCAGCAAGCTAAATTACTGTTTTGAATGGGCAGAACCAATCTGGATAAGGCTTTTACCCAATTCCCTCCTTTTCACACAGTAATCAATTAACAATTCTAGGTTTTAACATTAAAACAGTAACTTCAAATAACTTAGTAAACAATCTTATAACTTTCATAAGTGATAGTCAAGTTGTTTTAGGTATAAGCCCTTCTTTAATTACAGGTAAAGGTGGAAATACCTAGTTTTCTGAATAAAAGTTATAAAACATTATAGGACAGGTTCAGCAGGGCTGACAAAATAATATAACTGGTTTTACAGTTTTCCCACTGTAGTTTCTTTAAGTTTACACTTTAATAACACCCAAATAATGAAAAACCGCTTGACAAAACAATGCAAAAGTTTACCAGTTTGGAACAAGACTAGATTTTTAAAACTTGAAACACATTACCAATCTGATGACTCCAGTTATGTTGAATGCATTTCCAAATTTCCTTACAAAGAAAATCAGGCATCTCTTCACCATTGACATTGCATACTGGTCACATCTAATTAAGGAAGTAATAACAGTAGTTAACATTTGTATTACCAGAATGAATTAAATTACCTTTTGGTTGTATTCCAGTACACAAAAACTTTTTTCTTTTATGGGAGGAAGAAAACATTAAGTGCTACCTCTCTTTATGATCTGAGGGGAAAAGATTCACCCTCCATCTCTCTCTCTCTCTCTCTCTTCTACATTTAGCAACTTGGCCAAGGTTGGAATGCAAAGAGAGAGAGGGAGAAAGAATTTTTTTTTCTCCTAACAATTCTCCAAAAGTTTCAAAAGCTTTTTACTCTCAAACTCTCTATTCACACTGTGTAAATAAATTATACCTTCCTTAAGCTTTCTACACATACTCTTGTCTCCTACATGCTTAGACCTTCTTGCCTTGCCTTCCTTCTACCGAATTATCCCTCTGATGGACTTTGATTAAAGTCCCTTTAAAACTGCACATATCTTATTTCTCTCTAACCCTGACACTTTGAAAATCCTTCTCAACCTGCTTCCTATCAACCAGGTATTTTTTTAACATCGTAATCTGCACCTTCTTGATATATTTCCTTAAAATAACTCACCATACAAACTAAAGGGGTTGCTAGCCGAACCCCCCATTATCGCAGAACACAGACATAGACAAACAATAAAAGCCTGAACACAAACACATCCTCCCAATGGAAGTTGGAGGAACTGACCTGGAGATAACTGTCTGCAATCCAATCTGACACCTGCCTTTTTAGTATGCACAGAGGAAATGGTTCCAGGCAGGGGAGAGAAAACAATGGCTTTGAAGGAGGAGAAAAATACATAGGATTCCATCTCTTTCCATCAACAGCAGTTTGAGAGACAGCACAATATCTACACCTACAGACTAACACAACATAGACAGAAACAAGACCAAAAGGGAATTCCCAACCCAATGTGCCCACTGACATCTCAGGGACACCAAAAAGAGAGGGGTCACTCTCACGTCTGAGATTAACAAAGTCTAGACCCAACACAGCTGTGCAAATTGTTCTCACCTCCGGAGGTTTTTGTACCAGACTCCAAGATCACCGAATGGGGAACTAGATTGGTAGGGGATGAATACTAAGACTGAAACTGTCCAGTTCCGGGACCCTGGAACATCATCAGGGGCCGGCTCCCCTGGAACTGAAGGAGGGCCAGTCCATTCTTTCATCCCCTTCCGAGGTTCCGAGGGTCTCGATGGCAACGCGGAATGCCACTATCTCGCTGGGGCCTCCAAAGGTTATACTGAGAAATCAGACAGCGAGAACCAGATGTAATTTAAAATGTGGATTTATTAGTGTGCGGCTGCAAGGGGTATGCACACCCAAATCAAGCAGCCCCAAACAGGGGTCGAGCTAGGGTTTATATGGAAAAGAGCATGGGAAAGAAATGCCAGGAACACTGATGAGGTAATCCAAAGGTGCAGGTGTCTTTGGGGGTTATGGATGGGAAAGTACAGGGAGTATACCGGACAGGGAGGGGATGGACCTTTAGAGTCTGGCAGAAGGAAGAGTCCTTGGGCTGGCCAAGGCACCCCTCTCCCTCTGTCTTGATGACAGAATGCTCTGCAACAAGGGAAAGCTTTCTTACAAGACAGGAACTTACTAAGGAATTGGGAGGCTTCCAGAGACATGATCTGAGGGCTGGGGCCTGAGCAGCCCAGCTCTGTGTAGCTGTACCAAGGAGAGAGATAAGGGTCGTGCTGAGGCCCATGCATAAATAACTGCTAGGCACAGTGTTCTTGGGCTGGGGATAGTGTTTCTGAGGCTAGGGGGAAATTGGGGTCCAAGTACAAGCACCCAAGCATAAGCACCCAGGCACATCAGGATCACAATACAAATGCTTCTTTGTGGCATTTAAAGTCCTTCGCTACCTGTCTTTAATTTCTCCTTATAGGTTTATTCTAAGTGTTTCCCCTTCATGCTCTCTGTAGTCCCACAGTCCAACTGGTCTTACTATTTCTCTCACAAGATATCCCATCGCCCACTTATGTACCTTTGAGTAAGTCTGGCCTCCATGCCTTGAATGCACTTTTTTTTGTTTGGTTGTGAATACTTTGCAGTTCTTTTGAGAACTGTTTGTTCATGTCCTTCTGCCATTTTCCTATTGAGGAATGGCTATTAGTCTTCTATATAGATATTTATTAATTATCTCTATATCTTAGATAACAAACATTTATCAGAGAAATTTGTTACAAAGATTTTTTCCCATTCAATCACTTCCCTTCTTCTCCTAGATGCATTAATGTTGTCTGTGTAGAAGCTTTTCAGTTTCAAGTAATCAAAGTCATCCATTTTGTCTTTTGTAATTGCCTGTATCTCTTGTTTGGTTTAGAATACTTCTCTTACACAAAACTGTGAGAGTTGTATGATCTATTTCTCTTCAAAAATTTTTTATAGTATGATCTTTTATATTAAGGTCACATTGCCATGCAGAATGTATTGTGGAGAGGTAGGAAATGATGGTTTAAGCCTAATTTCTGCAGACTGCTTTCCAGTTTTCCCAACAGTTTATATCAAATAGGGAGCCTTCAAACCCAGTCCTTATTTCACTACAACCTCTTCCTCAGTGACCAGAAGAGCCAGAAAGGAGAACTCTGGTTGGCACTAGAGGTGGAAGTCAGAATGAATTAGGAAGTAGGTTATGAAAAGATTTTAAAAGTCTAGGATGTATATGAACTCCTACAAATTTAAGTAAGTAATGAGATATGTGTTTATAATCACTAGTCTATAAAATATTAATGAAGAGAGTACTTCTCTGTCCCGTTACCAAAGGTAGAAATTATACTGGAGGTACAAAGATATGTCCCAAGCCTTCAGATAAGTGCCCAGTGGGGAGACAGGGTATATATGTGTTTGTGGAAAAGAATCATAACATGAATAAGTTATTTTTTAAAATTTAATTCAATTTTTCAATTCAAAAACGTTTAGCTTTTCTCCCTGTGGCTCTAATTGCAAAGAAAAATAAAATCATATTACAAATATGCATAGTCAAGCAAAATAAATTTCTGCATTGTCCAGTCCAAAAATGTATAAGTCAGTCTGCACCCTTTGGCTATCCCCTCTCCATCAGGGAGAAGGTAGCATGCTTCATCATCCGCCTTCTGGGATTATGGTTGGTTATGGCATTGTTCAGAGTTCTTAAATCTTTTAAAGCTGTTTTCCTTTGTAACGTTGTTTTTGTGTAAACTGCACTTCTGGTTCCGCTCACTTCACTCTTCATTAATTCATACAAATCATCCCAGGTTTCTCTGAAACCATCCCTTTTACCACTTCTTACAACACAATAGTATTCCATTATATTACTGCATCTTAATTTGTTTAGCCATTCCCCAATAAATGGGCATCCTCTTAGTTTCCAGTTCTTCGCCACTACAAAAAGAACTGCTATGGATATTTTTGTACATATGGGTGCTTTCCCTCTTTCTTGAATCTCTTAGGAGTATAAGGCTAGTGGTGTGCATACCTTTTGACCCAGCAATAGCACTTCTAGGGCTGTATCCCAAAGAGATCATACAAATGGGAAAAGGACCCATGTGTACAAAAATATTGATAGCAGCTCTTTGTGTCGTGGCCAAGAATTGGAAATTGAGGGAATGCCCATCAGTTGGGGAATGGCTGAAAAAGTTGTGGTATATGAATGTAATGGGATACTATTGTGCTATAAGAAATGATGAGCAAGAGGACTTCAGAAAAACATGGAAAGACTTGTATGGACTGATGATGGGTGAAGTAAGCAGAACCAGGAGAACGTTGTACATAGTAACAGCCACATTGTGTGATGACTAGCTTTGATAGACTTAGCCCTTCTCAGCAATGCAAGGATCTAAGACATCTCCAAAAGTCTCATGATGGAAAATGCTATCCACATCCAGAGAAAGAACTATGGGGTTTGAATGCAGATCAAAGCATACTATTTGCTCTTTTTTTCCTTCTGTTTTGTTTTGTTTCTTCTTTCTTGTGGTTCCTCCTATCGGTTCTAATTCTTCCTTACAACATGACTAATGTGAAAATATGTTTAATAGGAATATACATGTAGAGCCTATATCAGATTTGCATGCCGGCTGGGGGAGGAGGGAGAGGGAGAAAAATTTAAAACTCAAAAGCTTATGGAAGTGATTGTTGAAAATTAAAAAGAAATTAGTATAAAAAAATGAAGACCTGAGTTTAAATTGGGCCCTAACTTACATTTCCAACCTGTATTATGCATTAAAGTGTAATGCCTAATACCTCATAGCAGGGATGTGCTGCAACTGACTCACTGGAAAGAAATGTTCTCAGGACACACTTTTAACTTTAATCTACATTATTAATATTTTCTCCATCATTTTCTTAAGTCTAGACAATCAACAAAACAATACGTCAAGCCCAGATTTGTAGTGTTTGCTGATTTCAAAGGTATAAATGCTCACATTGAAAATCTAACAATCTACTTCAGTATGAGCTATCCCTAGCCCACTTCTTAGGTGCTTAGTAGGTACTTAATAAATGCATATTAATTGATTGATTGATTGCCCTGCTTCCATAGTTTATGGTCCTTGGCCTTCTTTCTATTCCTGGTGCATAACACTCTAGCTTCCATCTCTATGCTCTGGGTGTCTCTCTCCCCACCCTTCCACCCCTCACCTCAGAATGCCTGGAATCCATTCTCTCTCCATCTCCACCTCCATCTCTTAGAATCCCTTTTTTCCTTTGAGCCTTAACTCATGAATGACTTTAAAATTTTTTATTGATATTTTCTGCTTCTTACATTAATGTGGCATCTCATGTATTCTTTTCCTTTTCCCTCCCCCTCCCTGTCCCTGAGAACTATTCCATGTGAAAAATAGTATTTTGTTTTTTGGAAAGGAAAAAGAAAAGTCAACATAACTGATCACTGAGACAGTATAAAAACATGTTCGATGTGTAACATATGTAGACCTCCCACCTCCATAAAAGGAGTAGTTTGGGAATGTCATCTTGTATCTCTTCATTTGAGTCCCATTTGATCTTGATAATTTTGTTGCATTTACCTTTAACTTTTTAGGTGTCATTGTTCTTTCCATTTAAATCATTGTAGTTACTGTGTATATTGTTTTCTTGGCTCTGTTTACTTTGCTTTGCATCAGTTCATATAGATTTTTCCATGATTCTCTGTATTCTCACATTGCATGATTCTCACACAAATTATTTCTTATAACACAGTCATATTGTGTTATAATCATGTACTACAGTTTGTTTCATGATTCTAATTAATGGGCATCTGCTTTGTTTCTAATTCTTAGCTGTCACAAAAAGTGCTGCTATAAATAGTTTGGAGTGTATGGGGATGTTTTCCTCATTGATGTTTTCCTTAGGGTATTTGGTTCAAAGGATATGGACATTTTAGTCACTTAATCTGCATAATTCCAAAATTCTTTCCAAAATGGTTGTACCATTTTATAACTCCACCAACAATGTATTTGTGTGCTTATCTTCCCATGCCCTTCCAACAATGACTGTTGCCATTTTTTGTCATTTCCTCCAATTTTTAGGGCATGAGGTGAAACCTCAAAGTTATTTTGATTCACATTTCCCTTATTATTAGTGATGTGGAGCATTCTTTCACGTGGTTTTGAATACTTTGCAGCTCTTCTTTTGAGAGCTGTTGTTCATATCCTTTTACCATTTTTCCATCGGGTAATGGTGATTCATTAGATAGATAAATAGATGAATACATGTATACATATTTGTTAATTGTTTATGTATCTTGCATAACAAACCTTTATCAGAGAAATTTGATACAAAGCTATTTTCCCCATTCAATCATTCCTTTCTTACTTTAGATGTATTCATGTTATTTGTACAGAAGCTTTTTAGTTTCAAGCAATCCAAGTTATCTATTTTATCTTTTGTAATCACCCCTATCTCTTGCTTGGTTAAGAATACTCTCTTACCTATAAGAGTGAGAGGTACATGATCTGTTTCTCTTCTAATTCATTATATATATCTTTTATATTAAGGACATATATCCATTTAGAATGTATTTGGAATGTGATGTGAGATGTTGGTCTAAGCCTAATTTCTGGG